ACGATTCACCACCGACAAGGGCATGGTATTCACTTATATGATGGATATGATCATGTCATAATATTCACATAAATACGAACTCCGCTACCCAGTATTCTCTCATAAATACGTACATGGAAAGGTCACATCCATCTCCGCGTGATAAATTCCTCCGTCAAGTATACTCTGACGACGTACATGGAAAGGTCACATGTATTCTCTTACCTGTTTGTATCTAAATTCCTCCGTCAAGTATACTCTGACGACGTTGAGAACAAAATGGACGTGACCAAACCATGTAGTTATTACCAATAAAATATGGTTCCCGATAGGCAAACATCGTGGTTGCGGCCATGATCAACCGCATTTGCCATTTATACTCTAATGGACATGTACAAAACTATTATCATGGAACCGTTGATTTGTTTTACTAATTCCCAACCAGTAAAGACAACCCGTACCGGCACTACAATAAATACTAATGGCCATGTACAGTCTTCTTTAAAATAGCAAGCCGACAAACATTTACGTTTAGTTAGATGTCAATAGCGGTTCCGTCTACTAATATTTAATCGATTGCCAACATCTAAACGATTTTCGTATCCATAACACCCGACTGTAAACGGTTCCAAAACATCTAATCGATGGCTACCCTCTAGCATGTGGTCATATCCATAACCCATATCGTTATTTAGGCAGCATAAGAGCTTGATACGAATGAGCAAAGTTCCATTGTTTCCAAACCACTGATTATATGGCCACAACCACTGTTTCTGTATTGTCCATCTGGTTCTCACCTTCCACTTCCTAATCAACAACACTTGTTACCAGAAAAATTGCAGCGGTGTGTGTGCTACCGGACAAAGTACATTAGTCACGGAAACCCGGTTTGTCGGTTCAACATGACCGCCTCGAACATGACGATTTCTCCGGCCAAATTGAAAATTCCTCTACCCAGTTTTTATACGGTGGCTTTTTCAGTACAGGAACATGCATGACGGAGCGATTTCCTAGATGATCCACAGCCGCAGCCGATCGCTTACTCCGCCGAACTTATCACGACAACTGATCCATATTGGTGTTCCACCGCAACTCTTAATCGAGGACAACTAATCCATATCTGTGCCCAGGACGCCCGAGAAATATTAATCTCACACAGACAACATCAATCATCCCAAGTCCTAAATCTATAAACTAGAAACTTGTAATCTCGAAAAAATATAATCTGTAATCTTCACTTGCTTTAGGAAAGAAAAATAAAACCTAACCGGTTTTGTCCCTATTAATAGACCGGTATTTTTTTCTGAAACGTTGGTAAGGGCTTCGATGGCATTTTCAATATCAAAACTTGTAAAAAGATCTACTTCAAACTAAAGTCCCAAATTGTGTAAATATAAACTTAAAAAGATCCAAAACGTGTAAACGCCTCTATTTTTATATAGACGCCCTTTTTTTTACTATTATTTTTAATAACTTTTTAATCAATTATTTAATATTCTTTGTGTTTTATAATTTTATTAGTTGGAGTTTTATAAAAGATTATTTTAAACTTTAAACTTATTAAGTTTTATTATTTTTTTACTTGCATTAAAATTTCAATTATATTTTTAATTTGAAAATGAAGTTTAAATCACTTAAAAAAGAAAATAGAATGGTGCATTTAAAAAGTTTTGTATTATATAATATTTATAAATTTTGTATATTGAAAATTAATTTGAATTCATTGTAATATATATATATATATATATATATTAATGTTTATTTATATGTTCTTTAATGTATTTGCTTTAAATTTAATTAATTATTTATTTATTAATATTTTAAATTGACAGATGTCACTCTGTCTATTGCTGATGTGTCAGTCAGCTGGAGAGAATTGATTGTCTTTTATATATAAGATGCATGGGTTATTAAACACTCGATTAGGTCCGTGTAATATCTGAATAAAATAAAAAGTATTTAAATTCTAAAATTGATAATTCGTATAATTATGATTTATATAATTTGATTTAAAGTCAAACTCTTAGACCTTAAAAAAGGTTAAACATTTGTTTCGTTATCTAGAAATTAGGTTTTGTAATTCACAGTTAAAAAATTTAAAATTGGTCTAGATTTTTTTTTTGTCTGGTCTCAAAAATTGGTCTAGATTAATTATAAACAATCAATATAAATAAATGAGATAGGTTAAAAACCAAATTTCAAATCTTACTAGTGTTTAGCCCGCCCTACGGGCGGGTGGAGATTAAAAAATAAAATTGTTATAGTTATGGGAGAGAAGTAATTTAAATAAATATAAATTGAGTTAACTGATTATATTTGTGTTTTTTTTTTGTTTGCAGTGCGTTTTTTTAACTGAGATGTTATTACATCATAGCGTTGTTTTTGTGAGATAACTGAAAGTTTTCGTTGCAATATTATTTGTGTATTGTCAAGACTGCATTTGATTGGTTGTTAATACATTTAGTGTCCAAAATTATTATATTTTCCAACTGCAAAAAATTATTTTCAGCGATGAAACCACGTTTGCTTTTACGTTTCGAAGATTAAGCATTAGGAATTGGAAAGAATCTCCACTGCTTTTACATCATCACCACCACACTTTCCAGTTTACACCTATGTCATATATGTTGAATTAAAGAGCTATATAAATAAATAATCATAAAGATGACTCAGAATATCTAATTACATAAAATTCTAACAAACGAATTTGACCGGAACAAAAAATAATTGAAGAGTAGTATATTGGATAAACTGGAATCAGATATAATGAAATCATCAGAAAGGTTTGGATCCGACAATTTAATCATTAGAATTTATTCTACCAATATTAGAAAATTTTATATTGATAGATTCTATACGTTTACTAACATCAATTTCCAGAAATCGAAATCTTCAATATAAACCGACAAATAAATCATAAGCAAATGTGAATGGTTCTTCTTCTATGCAGAACCTTTTCAAATTTTCGGATCACCATCACTTTTTCTATTTTTGAGCAAATCTATACCCTTTATTCCTTTTACAATCTATACCCTCCACTCCTATCATATTAGTAATATTACCTAACCACCATAATTGCCAGTATGATCTTATCTGCGAACTCATAGAAAACTCATTAAATTTGTTTGGTAATAAACCAAAACTTGAAAACATATATTTATTGACTCTTAGTGAACATATCTCTTGAGTTTCATATGAGAATTTATATATGTCAATAAAGCAGAATTAGGAGCCTACCTTCGAAGTCCTTAAGACATCAAAGGAAACTGTTTTCGCACAACATTCATAGTTCCTAAATATCTTAAGGGCATTCCCATGGTGCGTTTATATCAAATCTTTTGCACTTTTTGCAGTATACATGACAGAATAGAGAACATAGGGCAGAACAGAGTTCACATTAATTTAAAAGATGTATTGGTACGCAAATGTATCCCAGGTAGACAATATAGACAAATAAGCTGGGTAAAAAAATCTTGAGGAAGTCAGAGATAGGCGGGAAAGGGGGAAGACTAAAAGGCTAGCAAGATGAATGGAGATGTAAGCGTACATGTTTGTGTGACTATAGGTAACCTAAGTGATTTCCTATTGTGCGTAATAGAGCCTTAATCCAGGAGAAAAGAAACAACCAAAGCCTTTTATATTAGCCAATATATTTTTCTAGGTTTTGTCGCCGCCTACTCTTTGATATATAATGAATCCGTGTAGAACAATCCACTGCAAGAAATGTTGTTGATTTGGCTATCTCACTGATTACTCTTGCATGATGAATCCATGTAGAACAACAATAGACTTTCCTTTTTATGTTTTAGAGGTTGGTGGTTTAAAGGTGCTTTGGGAGGAAGATACGAAAAAAGTGAAGAAGATGAAGCTAAATATGCAAAAGTAGTGGCTAATTTAATGTGCGAGAAACGTAGGGAAGAAAGAATTAAGAGGTAGAGAAGTGGGGGGGAGATGAAAAGACCACCGACTACCAATCTACCATAACTGAGCTTAGACGTTGAATTTTGTCCTAACCACGTGGCTATCCTTGATAGCCTTTTCTTTGTGGATAACTCCTAGAAACAAAAAGCTTTCCTAGAGTTTGTTCTTTGGTTTGATGATGTGGCAAGAGGATAAAGTGTTTAGAATTGCTGATGTGGATAGGGTGAGGAGCCTCAAACAGCTGTTTTTATATAGTATAGATTTAACTGAAAACTGAATTTATTTAATATAATCAATATTTTCTAATTAGGTATATTATGAATATTATATCAGTCTAATAGTATGCATTTTTTTCTACTTTTGATTTTATTTTCTCGTATTTTACTTTTTTCGATTTTATTAGTTTTAGTTTTTATAAAACACAATTTTTTTAATTGTTTAAAAACACATGCCATAATCTAAATTAGACACATCAGTCGGTTATAATTACTCTATGTATCATGTTCATGTTGAAATATTGTCTGAAAATAAAACAAAACTTGAATTTTTGACTTTCTAGCCTGATGCATAAGAAACGAATAACGGTTATTTATGTGTAAACCTTACTTTTTGCCTTAGGCAAAACTAATAAAGAGATGCCTTTTCTCTTAATTATTTGGTAAAAATAGTTTCGATAAAAACAAAGAAGAATACAGAATAGACGAACTACTTGTCCCATTTTTATATTTCTTTAACAAAGATTTCACCTACTCGGTTTTAACAATTTTTGTTTTGATAAAAAAGTATGCTATTACTCCAATATTTTGTATTTCTTTAACAAAGATTTCACCTACTTGGTTTTAACAAATAGTTTCTCTTTTATATGCTTTTACTCCAATATTATATATTTCTTTAACAAAGATTTCACCTACTTGGTTTGAATAGATTCTCTTGAAACCAAATTGTTAGAAATTGTCAAAACTTGTACTTAAAAAAGGGGACTCGCTTTCAGGTGGATATTATGTAATAGAAGCCCTCTTCTTCTATCCAATCGACAACACTCATCTCAAATATTCCACACTCTTTCTCTATTATCCCAAAAGATAAACTCATACAAAAAACCCATCAACTTATATCAAGAAAGGCAACAAGTTACTAAAGAGAAGCCACACATTTGGTATCCCATCAAAATTAAATGATATAGGAACTCTTTCATAAGGTTGGCACCAAAATTTGCCAAACCTTAACTTGGGAGTCAAGTCCTCCACTGTAAACATGATAAGAAGCCTCAGATTCTTTACCGGAGTCGTGAATTGCTCCGGTTAAGCACTTAACTGGTCCTCTATGCCCCTCTAACATAGCCAAACACGAATAATCCGTCGCAGATATTTTCCACAGCCTCACCGTCTTATCTGCAGAGCCACTACAAAGTATATCCGAAACAACAGCGAGGCAAAGAACTGACTCTGTGTGACCTCTTAGCACTCCAGAAACAGCAATGTCTTCACTTTCATCGTCTCTTTTCCACACCAACATTGATCCATCAGATCCACCCGAATATAAAAGAAGAATGTTGTAGCTGCTCAATGCCAACGCGTTAATACCTGAATTATGTCCTGCCAATGTTGCTATCAAAGAATGTTTCTTCTTCTTCTTCTTCTTCCTGTCCTTCTCCTCATCTATGTTCTTCCTCCACACTTTAATTTTCCGGTCAGAAGATCCCGTGTATATATCTCCACTCTCGGATAATTCAACCGCATTGATTGCATCGTCATGGGCGTTTGTGATGGACTCTTGGCATTTAAAATCGGTGGTTCGCCAGATTTTAAGAGTCCGGTCCCATGAGACAGAATAGAGGAGCGTTCCGTCTCTTGATAAGGCTAAACCCGAAACCGCGTCTACATGGTTAACCCACAAAACTTTTTTGTGCCTCCTTATTTCGACTTGGTGCTTAGGCTTCAAACACTTTGCTAAACGGTCGCTAATTGTTGGCATCGTTGCTAAATGCATGTACTTTTTATTACCCGCTTCTTCTTCTTCAACGACGCTGTTGATCTTCCAAACACGTATCTTTTGATCTTGGTGTGCTGTGAAGAGTTTATCAGCCAAGATTACCAAAGACTTTACTGCTCCTCCGTCTCCTCTTTCTCCTGTTATTACATCGCCGCTGCTTGATGCTTCGGCTAGTGTTTCTAACGTGCTTGCATTCCACAATCTGACAACTCCATCATTGGAGCCTGTGTAAAGTCTCTTTCCTACAAGAGTTAAAGATGAAATGTAAGAGGATGTTTGACCAACAAGAGTGGCGATACATTGATGAAGTGCTTGAGAAGAAGATATTTGATGATCTTGTTCTTCTCGAGTTTCGTGGCATCGTATCATTGTTGCTTATGAAGGAAGGTTTGAATTGGTTATTAAACAAATGACCAAAGTTTGTAGAGTTAATATAAAGAGAAAGAAAAGATTGGTGCATAAAGAGGATGAAATTTGGGGGAAAGTAGTCGTGGAAACAACAATTGTCTCTAATACTTGGACTATTCTTTATACTTGTCATTTTGGACCCTTAACATTGTGGGCAAATCTGACCGAAAACGAAAAGAATAATGTGACGGGAAGATGAGTAGGATGCAATATACATTTTTAAAATGTTGTATATATTGGACAATCTTGTTTGGTATATTTCCTTGTCACAAAAGTGGAGGAAAATAAAAAGCTAAAGGATGACTCGAGATGATTATTATATCAGCTAAAATTGGGGTTTGTTCTATACGTTGTGACACATGATATATTCTTAGATTTTACGAGATTTTAATGTGTTAAAAACAAGAAAGGAAAATGCAAACAAAAAACACTCCAAGTGACAAAAGAAATACAAGATCAACTTCAATCTATAAAAAAAAAATCCCCAAAGTGACACAAAATGCAAAATTGGAATATATAAAGTGCAAATAAAAAGAGTGAATTAGGTAGATATTCATAGGGAAAATCGCATTATTAAACTTCAAAATTGAATAAGCTAACATTTTTAACCTCCGTATAATTACATTAACACGTTTAAACTTTCAAACATATTAGACATTTTAAAGTTTCAATCTAGGAAATTTATTTGCACCGTAAAAAATATGACTGGAACTGATTAGTTTCTGATAAAAAAAAGTGACGTGTCAATAATCTTAATTTATTTAAAAAAAATTAATTTATTATTTACTATTTATTTTAATTACAAAAAAATACAAAAAGTGATTTAATATGTAGAAATATAATGAAAGCCCTACCAAAACTATAACTATATATTTGTGGTTATCGGTAAAGACAAATGTATCCAGCCTTATATCTGCCACATTGACGAAACTTTATTATAGGTAGCTATTAAGACAATATAAAAACTATTTATGCAATTTGCAGCGAACATCTAATATGTGTATTTTTTTTTTCTCATTCCCAAATATCTAATATGTATTTGTTAAAATTTATTTTACATACAATTATAATACAAATAATACAAGATGTTACCGATTAGTAATTTTGTATCAGATGTTTTATTTTTAACTGTCTAATATTAAATTTGACAGCCTAATAAAAAATCTCATAAATTAGTGGATATCTATCATTAAGAGAATTTGACAAGTTGTTATACTAGGTCTCAAGCCCCCGTAAAATCGCATGAAAAATAAGGTATATTAAACTCTTAATTATTTTAATTATTTATAAGTAAACATACATATAACAAAAGCTGATGATCTTAGATGTAAATATCTATCTTTTTTGAAATAATAACTACTAGTATAAAAAAAAATAGATATGACTTTCAAAAATATAAAGAAACAAAGACGAACGAAGCCGTACAAAGCAATTAACACACATTTCTAATTATTAGAGCTGTTAAAATGGGCTGTCCAGGTCCATTTTGACCGTCCAATATTGACAATTTCGATTATGGACAAATAATGACCATGATCATTAAAGACTATGTCCATTAAAGACCATGTCCATTAAAGACCATGCCCATTAAAGACATGTCCAAATAGGTTGTCCATGGGTGTCCAATGTCCATAAAATTATAGAATGTCTGATTAGAACAAATATAAACACCAAATCCAAAAGTTTAGAGAACAAAATGTATAGACTAAACATAAATACAAAAGTCTAAGATTTCAAAGTTTTCAAAGTTTCATAAATCCAAAAACACAATTGTGAAACTAAGATTTCATTTGATATTAATATGAAACTAAGATATTAATATGAAACACAACTGTGAAACTAATATTTCATTTGATATAAATATAAAACTAAGATTTTGCGTTTTTTACGGGAAAACAAGATTTTTTTGTTTTTGGCAAGGAATCAATTTTTTTTTTTATGGTTTTTGACCGGAAAACAAGATTATGCGGGAAAACTTGATTTTATAGTTTTAGCGGAAAAATGAGATTTTTGTGGTTTTTGACAGGACAACGAAATTTTGATATGCCCCAGAAAATCAAGATTTTGTATTTTTGGCGGTATAAAACAATATTTTGAGGTTTTTTTTTGGGGGAGGGGGGGGGGTATCAAAGTTTTTTGTTTTGGCGGCAAAATCATGATTTTGCAGATTTTTCGGGAAAGCTTGATTTAATGGTTTTCACGAGAAAATTAGATTTTACTGTTTTTTTGCTAGAAACTGAGATTTCCGTTTTTAGGGCTTTTAGCAAATTTTTTTGGCAAAATGATTTTTTTAAAAGATAATTATGAATATGTTATACCGAAGGTTATTTTAATCTTTTTTGTTTTGAAATGCTAAATTTGTATCCAAAACTCTACATTTTTTAGCATCTTAAAATTTTAACCTAATTTTTTTTGTCCATTGGGCGGATCAATGTCCAAAGTGTCCAACCCGTGTTTTCCATGGGCGAAAATGGACGAGGCCCATTTCAACCCGTTTCAAAAATGGGCTTGTCCTTGACCAGTCCAAAATGTGTTGGACGCGGACAGCCCATGAGTCGTCCACCCATTTTGACATAGTTTACAGTTAGAGTAACAATGTATAACTCAACATATACATCCATATAAAAGACAACTATACAATTGACATTGAGAAGAAGTTAAACAACAATTATAACCAACATGATCAATTTTATCGGTAGAACTCAATTGTTGATCGACATATTTTTACAATGAGAAGTTTTTAAAAATATTATCATGATATGAAATGTTAAAATCTCCAAACAAAGAGAATAAAATTATAGTACAAAATCTTATATGAATAAAATCGAATTTGTCATGATCTGTAAAAAATTTGAAAAAAATGGGATTTCAAACCATTAGAAATAGTTTTGATACATGTTAAGTCAATATTATCTTTCGGAAACCTAAATTGTCTTGAATTTATAACATCATATAGCATTGAACATAATATATTGGCTTACCAAATTTTATTTGTGTTTAGCAATTTTTTAATTCGCTAGTTGTATCAAAAATATACATTTGAGAGAATTTTGGTGGCTCACCATCACATGGTAGTATTAGACCCTATAAGATGATAATTTTTACCATAGACCTTAAAACAATACATCTTATTTGGGCAAATTTTAACCGGTTCGTATGTGAATAGTTCTACGGAATGACGAGAAGGAGTAAGCTTTTTTTAATCAAAGAATATTGAGTTACAATCAATCAATATCGAAGATCTAAATAATTTGGTATCGTCCGTCGCTCGCCATTCGTCAGTAATTGGCGAAGAATGAAGCTACGAAGAGGTCTGGTCGCTCGATTCTCTGTTGTTGTCGTACCTAGTTATTAAAGTAGAGCTTTTAGGGTTTTTAGCGGTAAGTATTTGTCTGTCCGTCTTTGCTCTAGGACTTTTCTATTTATAGGTTTATGTCAATCCTAATCTTTATTGGATTGGGCTTTGTATGTCGGTTTCTCCATAATTCTCTTTGAATTAGGAGCTTATGTCGGTTGGTCGATCTAACTCTTTCTAGATTCTTGGTTTACTCAAGAATGTAAACCAATGACTTATATTTAACCAATGGTCGATGCTAAACCGATTGACAAAGATGAATGGTCGATGTTTGATAGATAAGAGTTTTTAAGTCTCAGGGCTATCAATCCCCTTGCCAAAGTAGTATTAAGAGGTGTCAATCCAGACTTGTCATCGAGACACTAGTCTATGTTATTTGTTTGTTTAAGTCAAGATAAAATGGTGAGGGTTTTTCTAAGCTAAATAATAACGATTAAGCATGTAAGTAAGGTAAATGATGAGAATCAAACAAAGCAAAGATGCAAATGATAACTAAGCGATTCAGATGATGATAATATGTAATAAAGCAAGAGACTTTAGACGAGATACTTGACTCGGGTGCTTCCAAGTTCAACTAGTGGGTTAATGAATCAAAACATCAAGCGGTTTCATTTAACTTTGAACTCAAGGCATGTTAATCTTCTCATGAAAGTATTAAGCATCTAAATTGATCCTCCTTCATACCAAAAATGTCCTTTGAGAAGCATCGAATCAATCAGCAATAAGAATCAGTTCAAAAATGTCATTTAAAAGAACAAACTATCACTCTCGCGATGAAAGACTCTTAAACCCTTAACCGAGTGGTTCAGACATTTCTACAAACACTTTTGATGCGAGATATGTCTCAGATCTGAACCTCAAGTGATGTGCTTGGATCCAGCCTAGAGATCTCGTCGGTTAAAGAATGAAACATGCAAGACTAGACACCTAAACCCACTAATCTACCTTGAAAGCACCCTAATCTACTCATCTAAAGCCGCTTAAACGACTACTCACTAATCATAACGAGCTCACTAAGTCCTTTGCAAGACGTGTAGCTGGTCATGATGAGGAGTTTAATGTTAGATGATAAAAGGAATAAATAAAGAACAAGATTTCTTATGCAACAACAAGATATCGGATTAGAATCATCAAGTTTCACTAAAAAGGCAAGTTCTTCAAAACTAAAAACAGGTAAGAGATCCGATCCTTAGGTTTTTAGTCTCAAAATGTATATATAGCAAAGGTAAAGTGTCGCGGGTCAGCCCGGAACAAACCGGGTACTGAACCGCGATCTTGGGTTGATGGGTGAGTGCCACGGTGTGTCGGAGAGTGAAGCCGAGGTCTTCATGCCGAGGAGTGCACGTGAGTCCAGATCCAAATGAAGATCTCGTGAAGAACACGTCAAGAACATGCATGAACCCTAGTCTTTGATCCATCTTCACGTGTGTATACTTGGGCAGCTTTGTTCTTGATTCTGGGTTTTTGACAATGGACCTCGGCATGAAATGCCGAGGCGCTTGGTAGTCGAGGGGTTTGATCGAACAGGGTTCGGCATGCACGCCGAGGTCGCTACACCGAGGTGCACGTTCAACACTTAGTCGTTTCCAGCTTTATTTCTTACGTG